TTTATCTTTTGTACTTACCACAACAATCATTAATAGGAACAGAATCAACATTCGAACCGTTAATAAAATTGAAATTCATCTGTGGATGATCTATGATAATATTTGATGAACTAACAATGGTATCAGTCGTTATTATTATCTCGCAATCAGTGCTGCCCTCAAGTCTGTATGCTAGACTGGCCGCTTTCACCATTGCATTTAGTGTTGTAATAATCTGAATTAACCCCAAAAAACGTACGAGACAGTGGATATTGGCGCAAATACCAAACTTCAATACATGAGTTCTCTCTGGCTCAGAGAGCGCAATGATCAGAAACTTTCGGCAGAGTAATATCCATATATAATAAAACGGGCAAAAAAAAACCTATCATTTCAATACATTTCTTTTGACTCATCTCAATTATCACTAGGAATTATTATTCTTTCCTAAGATAGATGGATAATGTTTCGTCCAAATGGAAAAAGAAATTTCATGTAAGAAGGATATGATAGTTTAAAACAAAATTATTATAAGTCATGTAAATACCTGATCCATTTGAAATATGTTATTTAATGTTGAGGGTTAAACGTTTAACCCTCATATAGAGGTACCCATATTAACAGAAAACATAGCGAGTAAAGGAAACGATATAAGAAGGCGCTATGTCTGCACAAGCATAAAATAATATTGAAGGAGTTAATTGAGGTATATTATTATTGAAACATTACAAAGTTATTTTCTGACAAAGCTCAGTCCGATGGGTGCTACAAATCAATTTATGTTTGAGACGCTACTTGGGATGAAGCATCCCTGAACACCATCATCTTGTGACTGCTGCAATTATTTTTATGATCATTCTCTACTTTCATGTTGTGGTGTTTACACTACAAGATAAGGTTACAAAATTACAATCTAACTTAGTGATATCTATCGTACACAATGCTAAGTCATTCATCAGATGTTCCAGCTTACAAAACTCCGAATGTCGGGCAAGCGATTATGACTTGTAAGTCATTCTTGAATGTCACCGTTTCAAGGATTCACAACGACTAGTAGTATCAAATGTCCGTTCCGCCAACGGTTGTTGGCCTGCTTCAAGTTGATTTAACTTTAGCAACGATAATCAGTGTGAATCAAACCGATGGTTTCAATGCTCAGTACACGATCGCTGCATATAACTGTTAGTCTGTCGTAACGGCACAAAACACTGTTAGTCGGCACTGTTAGTCTGTTCAAATAGCACAAAAATTTTAAACAATAAAGCACCTAGTGGATGGTCAGCAACGGCAAAAGTGGTCGAATGTGCCGCAGTCGGTGTTAACAGTGAGGGTTATAGTGTTTTGACTACGTTCGAAAATTGTCATGTTCGATAACCGATTGAAAGCATTGTAATATCTTACTTTATATATCTATTAGAGTTCCAGCACATCATCCTATAGAAAAGTTTTGAAAGCTGAATAACGGTGTTTATTTTTCCCTACTCAATCATCGGTTCTATTTGGATTCTCATTGGAGCATCTTTATGCAATCTCCTTTCTGTTTGATTTTCTAGTGTGTTATCAGCTTTTTCGAAACTCGGTAGAATGGTGACAGCGGTCTCTTAGACCGGTGCTTTTTTTTGCAACTGCCTTTAGTAGAGGACTTGTTCGTCTACGCTTCCGCTAAATATCAAACCAGAGACGTTATTTGAGTTCGTCTCTTTTTAGAAATAGGCATACAGAAGAAAATCATCGATTTTTAAGGCTATCAGACCTGAGAAATTTAACTCTATTTAACTCTTCAATGGAGTTCAGTTGGATCAGAAATTCTTTTACAATTACCTAGAAATACTGTTTTCACATTGTCCATCAAAAGAGCTGTGAGAACTGCAGAGTTGAGTTGGAGCTAAATATCGTTGAACTGTTCAGGTCTAAGAACTACTGGCATCAAGTTTTTCGCTGGACCCAAAGAAAATGTTGAAGGACAAAGAATAACAATAAGACGCATTTTCTCGCAATATGAAGCGTTTTTTATGGTGTGGAGGACAAGATTCAGTGGTGATCCCGAGAACCTTGAAAGATAAAATGATGGCTGAACACCGGACTTTCCAGCAAAGCTTATCACATACAATAACTATATGGATTTTATTTTTTTTGAGAAGTTACATGATCACACAATTTATTATGGATGTTCGTTCGTGTGTTTACGCCACTACAAAAGCCTCTTCACGTGTATTACACAGAAAATCTAAATAACAACACTGCTTTTTACTTTTTCTGCATAAGTTACAAGTGATTATGTAACGAATAGAAAGAATCATCTTAACTGCATCAATCTCGGAAAGCGACGAGAACAATCCTAACATATTGAGTCAGTCCATTTATCGTCTCCACTACCTTCACACTGCATATGAGAAAAAGAAAGTATTGTGAGTTTTAATGCGGCCAGGATAAAGTTTGTTTGTTGGTTAAATTTGATTAACTACAGTCGAATTTAAACAGAATTTTTCCATTCTGAAAGAACTTTCATTAACCAATAAGTTTTCTTTCACTCTTGTGTCACACTAATTTACTCACGTGACAGTGTCATTGTTAGAAAAAAAGAGTATGACTTTGATGGAAAGAGGAAAAGGGAAAAATCCTATTTTTTTTTACAATAAAGTTGGAATTTTCTTTTCTTCATCCAAATAAAAAAAGGAAACTTATTTATTTTATTCAGAAATACTTCAAATCAAGTAAAAGTTAAAACAATCGAATCTATAAATGTTCGCACTTCGACAAATTGTACAGGATCCAACTACAGTCTCTGAAGTAATCAGTGCTGTTAAAGACCTAGCTCCAAATGTTCTTGGTGTAACTGCTACAAGAATCGCTGCATGTAAACTCTCAGCACAATTCAAAACGTGGTTGGAAAATAACAAGAAGGAAGTTGATGAAAACGAAAAAGATTCGAATGGCGAGCCAACACCAGGGGACCGCGTGGCGTCAAGTTTACCAAAGGTTACCAAGCTCAATCTGGTAAAACCTATTGGGAGCGTGCGACTGATAGCGATTTATTTGTTGAAGATGTTGCACATTTCAAGCCACATTTTGAAGTGTATCGATCGTTACAAAATTTGGAAAAAGGTAAACGACATCGAGCAGTTACATATAATGGGATACTGATGAAATATTTTTGATGGGAACGCAAAAACTTTGAATTTACAATTTTAATTTTAACATTGCGTCAATCATTGTTATATTCGTGATTTATATTCATTAATCGTGTTCATACTTTTATTACACGAAACAATAAATATTGGTTTCTTGAAATAGATTTTATAAAGAAATGGGATTTTTCCCTTTTCCTCTTTTCAACAAAGTCATACTATCTTTTTTTTCTAATAATGACACTGACAAGTGAGTAAATTAGTATGACACAAGAGTGAAAGAAAACTTATTGGTTTATGAAAGTTCTTTCAGAATGAAAAAATTCTGTTTAAATTCGACTGTAATTAGAAGGTATAGAGATAGGAATAATAAAGTAAAATAATTTGTATAAGACCGCAACAAAATACATAACCGAAAGCTCGAAATCGACAAATAAAATTATTGAAGTTGGTTAAAATTCTTAATACGTATTTTGTTGCGGTCTTATACAAATTCGACTGTAATTAATCAAGTTTAACCAACAAACAAACTTTATCCTGATCGCATTAAAACTCACAACACTTTCCTTTTCTCATATTCAGTGGGAAGGTATAGTAGAAGCGATAAATTAAACACGAATATAAATCACGAATATAACAATGATTGACGCAATGTTAAAATTAAAATTGTAAATTCAAAGTTTTTGCGTTCCCATNTCAATATATAGAAAAATACCCTAAGAATGCAGAAGATCAAAAGGTTCGATGAAAAAGTTCGAATCGGCGAGATCGCCATAATGTAACGGTTTGGGAGTCCTGAATTTCGGCTCACGAATTTTTTGTCCCGGACTTTCAACCCGGTCCGAAATTCCGATGATTTTTCGACCCGGGCTGAAAGTCTGAGAGGAATTTCGGACCGAACCTTAAGTTACCTAATTGATTTATAAATAATTAGTAAACTTCATGGTGCTCGGCAGTATGACATAGTGCTTAGCAGTACGACATGGTGCTTGGCAGTTTGATTTGATTTATCTCCTAAGTAAAATAGACGAAGAAACACACAGATAGAATAGAGAACAAGAAAGAAAGACCAGGCATATACGTCGTAAATGATTACACTAACATATAATAATATCAGGCGTACCATAGAAGAATAACATAGAACGAAAAAAAATCAAGTAACACTTCGTTATATGGATTACGTAATAATGAAAAAAAAAGATAATCTCAGCTTCCTCAACAGAATATTTAACCTGTGTTTTCAACCAATATTCGAATCGTCAAAAAAAATTTTCTCACTATGCATAGTGCGGGGTACTAGGCTGTCTAGCTAAGCACTATGTCGTACTGCTCAGCACCAAGGCGTACTGCTGAGCACTATGTCATTTTACTAAGCACCACGTCATACTGCCGATCACCACGTTTTACTGGAAGTGCATAGTGCTGAGCACCATGAACTTTACTAATTATTTATAAAATTAATTGGATAAATTAAGGTTTGGTCTGAAATTCCTTTCAGACTTTCAGCTCGGGCCGAAAAATCACCGGAATTTCGGATCGAGTCGAAAGTCCGGAACAAAAAGTTCGTGGACCGAAATTCCGGTAACCCAACGGTTTTACAATACTTGATCGACTTCTCTTCTCGGTATATATGCCTTCGGTCCTAAAGGGCCATTACCACCAACTTCTGCTTCATGCGAACAAAAACTACTCATACTGTACAATCATACGTTATATATACAAAGAACGAGAGAGAAAAGAAGAGCGAACAATATATAATTAGGAGATAATTGGTGATTATCTATCAATCCAATGGAGAGAAGAAAGAAATGAATAATAGGAAGCCAGTTCGTTCTTTACAATGTCGTGTTTGTGGCGTGTGTGGCCAAACAAGCAGATTGAAAAATCGTGCGTTTCTATTGCTTTAGGTAGTTGAATAAAAACTGTTACTTCATCAGCTAAAGCTTTTCGGAAATCACTTGTTATTGTGTTTGGATTAAATGTTGTTTTTAAACGAGTAGCCTGATGTTTCAATTCACGAAATGATTGTGTATAAGTACGAGCTTAATATAAGTTGCAAAATTGTCCTACTATGGAAGTGGACGAATAATTGTTCGCCCCACAGTATGGTTGAATAATGCTATATACAATTTCTTTTTACTATATTATTATAACTTTCATTTCATGTTTATTTATTTTATTGTTTAAGAACAAAAAAATTTCATTCTGTATCACTTTAGAGTTCTTTCAAGCGTATTAACAGGCCACATGGTTTGACAGACGATAAAATATCGATATATATTTCGACTTTATCGTTCGGTATTATATCGCAGATCCGTGTCTCCATAACCGATTGTTTCCCCTTGCGTTTGGAACCTGGCTTTTGTTTACACTGGAGAACAATTTGTGCGTTGTAGCACTTTCCTGTAGAAGTTGATTGAGATTGATATTTCGGACTGTAGACAGTAGAACTTGAACAAGTTATTGTTGGTGATGTATATATGTGCTTTTTCCCCGGTATATGTTCTTTACGAATTGCTAATATTGTACCGTCAATCAGTTCATCGCCTGGTAGAAAAAACTGCCCGGCATGGCTTAAAATCGACTATGCTGCAATTGTTGATGTCCCGTGGTAGGTGACGATCCATTTATTCCATAAGGGTGTTGAAAAACCGGTCGATGAACACCGAGACCAAACCAAACACATGCTCGAGGTATAACATACTGTTCGTTGGCAACGGTTAAGACGTCTAGCAGATTCTTGGAGTAACATTGAGAACAATAGCAATGATTATGCTTGGAATCGAAGAACACTAATGGCCCGTTGAGACCAGTAACATGATATTATTTACTTAATTTCCACCTTAATTGATGAACAATTATTTCTGATGACTTACTTTCTGATCAATCACATTAATATTGCAATTTATCATCATTCAATTATTGTCAACAATATGAGGGAATTTTCCAACAACCCGTTCCACATGGTTGTTGGAAAATTCCCTCTAACTTGAACAGTAAATGATAGTTGTGAACTAGTTCTTGAACGCCCGTTTTATGTACTCTACGAAACGGGCTTTTGAACTCCATTAAATGCAAATTTGTGAACGGGTGTGGAACGGACAAAGTTGAAAAATTTTATCAGTTTTGAACGGGATCGGAACGGGATTCAAAGTTTTGAACGGAGTTCCGACGCACGTTTCATGTTTTTTTTTCCCTCTTGGGACGATCTTCATCATTAATTTTTAGCGCACTTGAATGAATAAGGTGATGAGGACCAAACAACTTATAGAAAAAGAGCGATTGAATACACATTGTCCAGTGCTTTTAGAATCCTTTGCGTTTCTGTTGAAAATGAGTTTCTCGCTTTTTGCGACAAAAAATTTATTCTGAGGTCTAGAAGGTATACCTCATAGGACACGCCCAAATTCGTAGTCTCCGAGATACGTTTTTCCAGTTAGGAATGTAGCCTTCGCTGTTGAAAATGTCCCCAAATTTCTATAAGAAAGTGTAGAGACGAAGCGCGGTTTCAAATAACAAACAAATCTATCTTACAGAATATGTTTTTATTTGAGAAGTATCTCTTAATATATGACACGTTTAGACACGTACCGTGTTAATCATGTCCTATAACTGTTGGAGTGAATGTTTTAGTTGAAAAAAAGCGTAAAAGAATTCTTCAGAGCGTGCTGTCTAGCCATACCAAGCCGTTAAAATAACTAGAGAAAACGTCGTTTTCTCATCCCTTGTCTACTTCCGTGTAGAGAACCACTAAAGTGTTTCCAGATGTCTTTGTATTTTAAAAATACTCAGTTTTACGTAACTATTCCTTCTTATTAGTATTTTCTCCTGAATTGTCCCACTCGTAGCTGACACACTGCTAGCGAGAGAGACTTGAAACTTTACACACAGATAGGCCTTAACAAGAATAGTTTATTGTGAAAGTTTCAGATCTTTTCATTATTCCTATCCTAAGATACGGTTATAGTAAAAGCTTGTCTTTTATATTGCTCGCATATCACATTCACCACGATTCGTTTTTCTTAGAGAACTACTTCCAAATACTCATTTCTTTTAAGAATTAACTTCTATTAAACGCACTTAGTGATTTTTTCATTATCTTCGTACGATTATTCATTGAGGAGAAGGCGAGAGAGGGTTGAGAGGGATCAAATATAGATGGTTTCTGTCGGCTATATACCATTCATAAGGTATATAGCCTGATTATTCTTCACAATAGTGATCTTGTAAAAAGAAGAGAATCGATGCCGACAAGAATCTAGAACGTAATTAATAGAAATATGATCACAAGCTTTTGCACCAGATTCTTCAAAATCAAAATCACTATAATTACTCTACATTTAGTTTTGGATTTTGTGATCATTAAAGTTCAATTTTTCGTACTTCTTTCAATGGTGATCTACATACAATCGTCGATTTCATCATATGACACATATAACAAGAGAGAACTTAGGAAAAGAATGAAAAGAATAAAAATTTTCTATGTTAAAAATCAAATCCACTATTTCATTCATTTATACACCTATTAGTATTGGCGCCTATTGTAAAAATTTTCGTCTTTTCATTTATCACTGCTGAGAACTCAACCGATGCATATTTATCACCAAGGTACTAAAAGGTCAAGCAGTGATGCATATAGATTTTTCATAGGGAACTGTCGTTGTTCTCTTTGTTGTCTTTGGGCACGGGTTTCTACCATAAACCGGCAGTGCACCATTGATAAGTTTATATCCTTTTGACCTTTTATTATACTCAAAAGTCAGACAGAACGAATAAAAAACGAAAAGATAATCAAACAACGAAACCATGCTTCTTTATATAGAATAAAAGGAAAGCCTCCTCTCATTAAGTCATGGTACAGGAATAAAGAACGACGAATAATCCTGCCTCAGCATTCCCGAGTCAGGGTTGGCCATGTATTTATGTAAGGATAAGTATTCTTACATTACAGTTTTGTATTTGATCTTGAGTTGTCCAGACTGATGTTGACGATTGATGCTACGGTATAATCCATTAATACTGTAGCAATTTTAGAACTATCAGATTTAGATTCTTCTGCCCCCATGTACATGGGGGCTATACTGAACATTATCTTTAAGGATGAATGGCACTATATTGATTCAATTTTACAGCAAGAAAAGCTAACGACTGTTTCCTTTTTCTACCCTTCATCAACGACATATCTAAAACTGATAAGGGTCGCAAAAACTGATTAGTCGCGTTAATCATAATTAAACAATGCACGCATAAACCCACACGTCAAGGGATCAAGTGAATCGAAAATGAACGTTACTTAGAATAAGGGAACGCCCCTAAGCAGCTGAATTATAACAACTCTATAGCAATAGACGCGACTATTTTAGCTCCTGTTTTGAAGTATATTGTTTCTTCTATAATATGATGAAAATAATCAGACTCATTTCAGCTTAGTGCTAAGCTTCTACAACTAGAATAGCAGCGAAAGGATGAGTCAAAAGACCAAAAAACATTTTTTATGGCCGAATCAACTTTTGGCTGGTACGTAAAATCGCCATTGTGAACTATATTTTGCCGTCATTCAATTCAAGCGAAAACAACATCAATTTTCTTTTTATCATTAGACAAACATAATTGGAGCGTTGATATTTGTGCTCTGTGTTAGTTCACTATATTTTCACTTTCACTGATGAATCTTCTTAACGCTCGTTCCGGTAGACGTTCGCAATCCTCCTAACTGTAAAATGTTCTCGTTGTAATTCAGGTCCGGGAAAACCGTCTAAGACTGCCAGTGTACAATCATGCATTTCAATGAACATAGGCATCATTTCCATACAAAGAAATGATAAATTCATTGCCTTACTTTTGAGCACAAAAAAGTAAGGCAATGAATTTATTTTTTCTGCACACGCTCGGAATACACAACTGAGTGCTTTTTATGTGTTCTGTCTGTCCAGGATGCGATAAAATATCTCATTTCAACTGAAAAAATCTAAAAAATTGCAAGTCAAAAAAGTCGGTATTTTCGGTATCGGTATGAATACCGATACCGGTGCATACCTGTCTCGGACTCGCTTCGAGGTTAAAATGAGTACACGGCAATTCTATTCTATTCGATCCTATTTGACGCACAGAGGATTGGGGCTCAGCCATTCCGCCTCATTCACAGAATATTAGATTAGTTCTAATAACGAACTGATCCTAGCGACGATATCTACGGATATACATTCTCTGAAAATTCAAGCGTGAATGTTTTGTTCACATGCGGCAAACGTTACCGTATCGGTAATATTCACACGCGAACCATAAAACATCAACCGCTCTCACTTTTATTTTGAGATCAAATGCCAGTTATATATCGAACCATAATTGAGAAGTAGTACATGAGAGAACTTAGAGCAGTTTGTGATTGGAGCTGTTTTACAATAAAATCATATTTTGACTCTGATTTTATCAAGAAACTCTGTTTACAAACACTTTTGCAAAATTCTGTCCGCCGAGATTAGAACTAAATTCATACGCTAATGACGAATCCTGAAAAGTTTTAAAACGGACAGAAAGATAGAGTGTAACAAGCTCTACATTTTGGTAAAGAAAGAAAAGTTTCTAGAGTTTTATTCAACCGGAAATGAGGATGAAACATGTATTCAATTTGGGTTTTTTGTACAAAATGTCCAACGGGTTTTTTTTCTTAAAAAATGTCCATCGAGATTATTTTGTCTATTTTTCGACTAAAATAACTTCGAATTCCAACTCATCATACACCATACGATTCGTAGAAACCTGGGCTATTCGTTAGAAATTACAAAAAAATTGTGTGGTCTATACGTTGTCCTTTACTTTAACAGCAACGTCGCAGCAACCACAATATTTACTTTTTCATCATGCTTATAGTCAGAAACTTACTTTTTAGGATCTGCAAATATAAATACAATCTCAGTTTAGAATTTTTTGTCATAAATAGATAGTCCAAAGTGTCCTCTCCAAAACGAGAACTAAGCGAACTCTTAATTTTTCCTGCGTCATGGGTGGCATCGGATTTCCTGGGAGCCCCAGGATCGATTTTTCTTTAGATGTGGTAATTCCGAAAACGAATGGAAACACAGGTAATCGACTACGCTGAATCTCGTGGCCACATTTGTTTTTCAAATAAGTTTCAAAAACCTGGTGAAAACATATATTGGTTGAAATGACCCATTTTTGCCTATTTTTGAGTAAAATTAAAACATCGATAACCTAGTGAAGGTTCACCCAAATTATGTCAAAATTTCAAGATGTACTCTATTTTACCTGCTCTATATGTTTTTTTACTTGAGAATAGTAAAAATATTCTTGTACTTGGGAAAATTTCTACAAAACCTTTTCAAAAACCAAAGTATTTTCTGTTGATCTGTAAAGCTTTTGTTGAACTGGATGGTATTCACGAGGTCATTTCAACTAATATATATTTTCACCAGGTTTTTGAAACTTATTTGAAAAACAAATGTGGCCACAAGATTCAGCGTAGTCGATTACCTGTGTTTCCATTCGTTTTCGGAATTACCACACCTAAAGAAAAATCGATCCTGGGGCTCCCAGGAAATCCGATGCCACGCCTGACGCAGGAAAAATCAATTTTTAAAAAGTAATTGTTCAAATACGCAGGTTTAGATGTAATGATAACGTATACATCTATCATTATAAAGACGGTTTACTCTCAGTTCGTCCCATATTAGTTTAAAACACTTAATTAGCTTTAATATAATTGTCCGCATCTGTTGCGTACGATGATAAATATGACAGTTGTAACAATTTTCTCGTACAATTGATTTCTGTTAATACCTCGTGCCAGATAATTAGTCCACAAATGAATTCAAAATTGTCTAATTTTGATGCGATTGATTCCACTGTTATACGTGTAAGTGAATCTTTTTGCAATTGAACGACTTCTTTTAACGCAGAATAAATGCCTTTCAATCTGGTCTTCAAAGCTCTAACGGCATTAACATGGCTTTCCCATCTAGTATCGCTTAACAATTTCATCGTCAATTCACAACACATGGACTGGAAAATGTGCCAACGCTTTGTCAATCCCGAGAAAAAATTGTAAATTGTTTGGATGGTCGAAAAAAATTTAACAATTTCAATAGCTCCTTTTACTGCATCAACAACGACTAAACCTAAGGAATGGCAGACACATGGAACGAAATAGGCTCTTGAATTGATATTTGCAATGTGAGACTGCACACCGTTTCTTTTATGTCGCATATTGGCTCCATTGTCATGGCCTTGACCACGAAGATTCATAATAGATAAGTCATTTTGTTTCAAAGAATTTAAAATTTCTTCGGTCATCTTTGCTCCAGTTGTGTCTACAATGTTAATAAATTCCAAAAAACTTTCTTTAATTTCCACACTAGCATTGTGACCTTCAGCTGCTTTTTCGATGTGGACGTAACGCGTAACAATGGACATCTGTTCTTTATGACGTACATCAGGTGTACAGTCCACAATAACTGAGAAATACATTGCATTTTTGACCATGTCCAAAATCTTATCCTTTGTAACTTTGGCGACCAATGAAATAATTTTCTGCTGGATATCTTTTCCCAAATAATGAGTCTTGTGTGGATTTTCTGCTGCGCGTTTTACATGCTTCTCTAATCAAATTTTGAGAACAACTCGACAAGTTTCAAAAATTTACCATTATTTTCGGTGAATAGTTTGTCTGAAGACTCTCTAAATGCCATATTTTCTGAGGCCATCGTTAAAATAATTGAAATTATTCTCTTGAGCACTTCATCCCACCTTGCCCACTTGCCACTACATCCCACTCCCAATCCACTTCCCATAGCAGTCAAAATGCTCAGTGCTTCGTTCATGTCTCTTTAAAATCAACGCCATGTGTCCCCAATCATTTGTGCCTGCCTTTGCTAAAGCAAATTCGTCACTACTAAATATTTTGCAACAAAAACAGAACATTCGATCTAATTTGGATGAATACACAAGCCACATTCTATCCACTAATTCACCATTTGCTGTTTTTCGTTGGAAATACATTTTGTTAAATGATCGCCCAACACCGTCTTTTGGGTAATGATTAATGTTAGCTCGTATTGGTCCTCTGAAAACTATCTTTTCAATTTGGGAATTCTGTAAATTTGTTGGCCAATCCGCTATGTCATCAAAATCATGACAGCCAGTCGTCTCCACAGCACTCGCTTCTACATCACTATTTAAAGATTCACCTTCAGATACTTCGCCGATTGAGATCCCATCATCCTGTTTAGTTGCACTTGTACCGCAAATTGTATCCGTTACACTTTCATCATCGTGCCCAGGCTCACTTGTGTCCATTGGTTCAGCAGGCTTAGCAGAATTGTCTTTGTTTTGCCCATCTTGCAGAAAACTATGCAGCGTTCTTTGATTCTTAAATTACTCTGCCAGCCTCTTTTCTCGATTTTGTTTGTTCTGCCAACCAGACAATTTCCGCTTCTGATTCATATTACTGCAAATTTTTTTAATTCAGTTATGCACATTTTTCCTAAAGCTTAAATGAAATCTCCTACCTCTATTTCTTTTATTAGAAACTTTAATTACCAATAGTCCAATATAATTTCTTGGAAAAGTTTAAAGAAAAATATTCAACTTGTTTTTCTCACAAAGACTCAATGAAAATAGTTATATAAAAGAATTTCATAGCAATGTATAAAGTATAAATCATATTTGTAGCATCATAGCATGCCATTCATTTTTAATTTAAAAACTTACCTCATATTTTTTGAGGTCTTTTAGGCGCTTTTTCTCTTGTGGCGCCTGTGTGCATCGCGCACTTTGCACACGTAACCAGCCGGTTCATAGACTATGAAGATAGTTAATCTCCATTAATTCCTATTTCTTTTCTCATTTGTTCTCTTGCACAACATACGAGATGCTCTCCTTTTGTTCCTCATCATCTTCATGTTCTTGTTTTCTCACGTCATTTGATTGACTATCGGAGCAATAAAAAGTCTTCTTTTGTTTCTGTTCGACTTTACGAGTATTATGAATGGTTTTCTTTATCACGGGACGGTCTTTGCGCTTCGGGATGGAGACAACATTACTAAACGCAACACTCATATCAATATCAATATTAAATTCGTAATCAGCATGAAAAATTTGCCTAGGAAGAATTTTTCAATGAAGAGAATCGATTTCGCGTGTTGGTCTCTCAGACTGATATTAGCACATTTTTCACAACTTCGAACACGCTTTTCTCGGCCAAATCGCAATAGTCAAAGACAATATTTGTCAGGGATTGTAGTGCTAGGTATGGTAAACAAGTTCCACTATACAGCGTCACACCCAAACCCCGTGATGGTTCCGGAGGTGGGCTCAAAGTGGTGAAATTTCAAAAGGAGCTCTCACTGGTGACTTTACCGCTCGATCCTAGAAAGCGATACAGATTTGGGGCTCTCACAGCCTAATAGAGGACAGTCAGAGCTATCTGAAGCACTCATTTATGTTAAGTTTTGTTTTCCTTTCATGGGGATATCTGGACCTGAAAAATGCCAAAAATTGCTATTTTGGGTGACTTTTTTCCCAAAAAACGAAACACGGGCGAAAGAAGTTCCTGCTACAAAAAATGATCATCCCAACGAGTTGTACATGCGATAAATTTTTCAGTATTTTCTATTGTAAAATAGAGGAGCCAGCTCATAGTCCAGTTTTACTGGGAAACCCTATTTTGCCCAGGTCGTCCGGACACCGTGCCAACATTTTAAATTTTTTTCAATGCGCCAGTTATGCTTAGAATGACGAGTTCTTCTAGTTCAGAAAGTCTTATACGATCCGGACGAAGTCGATGTAAATGTGGTACAGAAAGAATTACCCAGCATCCCGATGCAAAAGTTCTCGTGCGCTAGATAATCGCATATCACCGGAACAAAAAAAATAAAGTTGGTTTAGACTTGCTGAAAAGTGATTTTTCGTATTCATCACAGTCGATAACCCAGAAGGTTTTCTATTTTTGGCCTGGGGTACTTCTTGAAGTTTAAGAAAAATTTTGAAACAAAATGGCGCAAAGCGCTTTCGTGGAAAAATAATATTAATTTGAAAACTTTTCCTAAAGTTCGAAAGTACCTCGGGCCAGAAACAGAAAATCTTCTAGGTTATCGAGTGTGCTGAGTACGAAAAACCACTTTTCAGCAACTCTAAACCAACTTTATTTTTTTTCCCGCGATATGACTATAGAAAAGAGGAATACGCAGTCGGTTTTGGTGAAACTAGCTTTCAAAACTTTTCTATAGGATGATGTGCTGGAACTCTAATAGATATATAAAGTAAGATATTACAATCGGTTATGGAACATGACAATTTTTCACGAACGAAGAAAACGAGACCGGCTTTGCATTCTGTGAAGTGTATCTCTCTTTCCTCGTGTAATGATTGCAGTATGGGAGTATTTTGATTTTATAGTGGACAGCTTCATTAACATTAAAAGTCCTCGTTCATTATTTATCCATATAGTTATAGATAATTAATGTATTTCATGTCGAACAACTGACATTTGATGATTAATGGTTCTCGCTGTGGTGTGATCACCCACCGTTCTACCTGGTGCTGTTGAATAGTTAGTGAATTTGGCTTTGAAACAATATTTTAGACAATAATTAATCAAAAGATGTTTCATTTCTTGACGAAATGTTCTTGATGTTAATAAATATATGTAAAATGGTGATGCATTTGTTAAAATATATCATGGGTGTATTAGCTAAGAATGAAAGAAAATTTTCAATTGACACTCTTAGTGCATTTTTGGTTCATTCATCGTTACTGTTGAATAAAATATATTTATTGGATAAAATGATGTTGATAGAATGTAAACCAACACTTCAGCTAACAGCATTGAAATTAATTGCCGATCACGTTGTTTGACTTTTATTTGTAAAGCATTTCTCGCACCACCATCTGTTACTGGTTGAATACGACGATGGATCCGCATTAAATTTTGAAATGTTAATAAACTAAATACGATCATTAGCAGAAGTGGTACTATACCAATGAGTATCAGTAAATAAATGCTGTAGCACAAACCAAAGGCCCCAGGCATCACGCACCGTTGTCGTATAATGGTGTTCCATATGGGAACAGGTAACTGAATTACGAACCAGAAAATGGTTGTGAGTGGAATTAAGCGGTATGCCACAGATGCCCTACTCAGTTGTCTTAATTTCGCTTGTGGTGAACATAGTGCATATCGATCCATGCAAGCCAAACAAACGAAATATCTTGACAATTGAGACATAATACTAACAAAATACAGTCTTAATTTACAGTAGGAAATAGAATAGTTGTTTGGATTTGAATTTGAAGCAGAGTAAATTGTTGTTGTTAAACCAATATTCAAAGCGCAAATATTTGCCACAGATGATGCAGTTAAATACATTGAGCACGGATTTGATCGTAGCAATTTCTGTACAAAAATGAAACAATTAAAAATATTACCAATTGTTCCAGCGATAATATAAATAATCATGCAACGCGCTATCTGTAATTGAGCATCTGTTAACGTGGCTATTACTGGTGATGCTGTTGAAGTAGTAGTATTTGACGCCATTTTTAAATGAGAGATATGTCTTCTACACGAAAATTTGAAAATGTATTAGTATTGCTAATCAGATTAGTGTTATACTGGATCTATAGAATAATCTCTTTTTTTACTTTGACACGGTAATATTTCACAATGGGTAAACATACTCTTCTGCTAATTATTTTTCTTCTTATTAATTATTTCTCTTTTACTTGGAGCAACAAAGAAACAGAAATCTAACGCTAATCTCCTTAAAAACAGTCAAAACCCATTCAAAAGAAATCTTATTAAACCCACTCAAACTCAAAGAAGTAAAAAAAGACCAACACTAACACAACACTAAATATAAAATCAAAAATCACTATAACGTAACGAAACTAGTACATCCTTCACAAAAAAGCAAAAAACTAAAATAAAATAAAACTAACATTGAGATTAAAACTCTAATACGACAAACTAGCATTATGAAAACTTAATTCTTAAAATTAAATTTAAAAAGCAAAAATCGTAATTTTGAGATAATGATTTAAAAACTAACAAACACAAATTATCTACAACAAATCTATTTACGTAAAGAACAAGATGACTGATATAAATATATAGAAGTAGCCATAACTACAATATGAAAACTAGAAGTTACAAAAAAGAAAATATAAAAAGAATCATACCCTGAATTAATCATACACCCCTCCAATAAACCCAAATCATAAATATGAGAAGACAAAAGAACAAAAAGAATTAACAAAACCAATAAATTAACTTTACACGAATAGAAATTAACCAAAAAACAAAAAATATAAAAAACAAAAGCTATAATACCCCTCAAACAAACCATAACCAAAAGATGTTTTAAAAGCAAATCATTTTAGCATAAAAAACTATCAAAAATAAAACAACGCAAACCAACCTGAATGAACTTATTATATAAGAAAATAATAAACAGACAAATTCAAACAATCATCAATAACCGACAATGAACCCTAAATTCATTAAACATCACCATGAAAACAGTATACTTCCTTTGGTACCACATATTAAAATACAAAGATAAAATCTAACCCAGTTCACACCGGTCTAAACTCAGATGACGTAAAATTTTATAGTCTAACAGACTAAGAATAAAAAAATCTACTTAATTACCATTAATGATCCAACATCGAGGTAATAAACGAAAATACTAATACGATCTTAATACTCTCATTATCCTGTTAACTCTAAAGTCAATAAAATTACTCCAATTAAAATAAAACTTTGATAGATCCTTTTCTATTGATCCAAGGAATAAATCAAATTGATCCTTTTATTCATTCATGCCAGTTTCTTATGAAAAAACTAATAATTATGCTACCTTAGTACAATCAGATTACTGTAGCTATTTAATTCATTAAGCAGAAATCACTTGATAATAATTAAACTATGTTTTCAATAAATAGTAAAAACCCTAACATTTTTCAAAATAAAATATAAAAACAAGTTAGAACATTTAATAACATAAATATTTAAAAATAAAATTACAAAAATATTGATAAACAGCTTAAATAAAACTATAAATAAATTTTAAATTTATACCCAAAATTATTTAACTACAAAAAAACAAACAATCAGATATAATAAAAACCGCTTGTTTTGTTACAGAACAATTAATCTAATAAAAATATGATTTTTCTTTAGATAATTTAGAAAAAAAATATTTACCTTGCGGAAGTTTTCTCATCTCTATAGAAAGGACCCTGTCGAATAAGATGACCTATCTAGAATTGAGAAAGCAAATATACCATCGTGTAGAAAATTTCAAGGCACATCGAATGGTATATAATAAGTCTATTTTCTAAAAAGTGTAGGAAGAGTTATAATCAATTTACTGACGGAGGGGTAGGATCCAAAATCGTGATAAATAGCTACTCAGTGTAGTCCCTATAAGTTAGTCGAAGGATGTCGTAAAAAGTATTCCTTATATACAGTTGTGTAGGATTTTTGACGGACTATAAGCTCATAGATCTAATTACATAATATTAAGAAGAAAGAAAAAGATGGTTTCTCATCAATCTGACCCTATTTTTGATTAAAGTGATAATTATAGATTTACTGTGATAAATGGTATCAGTCTCAGAAGAAGCGTCCACTCGTCAGACTTTGTCACAAACTGCGCCTTAGATAGGGCTACAAAATGCAATATTTGGTAGTTCTCCAACGTTTTTTGCGATGTCCCTAAAATTGCTCTGTACTGACGACCACTGCATAATTTTTCGCTCTATTTTTTCCAATTTTTTATAAAAATTTCATCTTTTTCTCATTTTTATTGATTGAGTTATGATTGTTTTTTAAATTCTAATATCATATTCGTATTCAGCGTGAAAAACTACGTCTAATAGGCCACCTATTAAGTTTTCAAAAAGTCATCATTTATCGTATGTCCTTTATATAATAAATTCTAATGACAATTATATTCTGAACTATACGGCTTGTCCACGTAACTCGAGACTTCGCTGATCAAGTTTTTGAAAAAATTATTTTAGAGTAGAACTGATAGGAGCATATCACTAGATGCAGTTTTCGACGCTGATTACGAATCTCACATTAGTTTTTGAAAAACGTTAAATTTTGGTACTAAAAACCCAGTTTTACATTTTTTAAAAACTGTATTTTCAATTTCCTCACCTAGACACTTTTCCTAATAAAAATGGAA